GGTAGGCGTATCCACTGGAAGTGACGTGGACTTGGTAGAAGTTGCGTAGATAAGTCGTTGCCAGCATGCTTTGCTGATATTCGCGATGTATATTGGAAGCCCCTTATCCACATAGATTCTATCAAGTACACGTCACTTCCGGTGACACGCCTACCATTCGGATCTCGGTATAATACATTAACGTAGGCCCTTTTTCATGAAACCTTCCCCCCGGACAAAGAAGGGACATTGATAAGGATTTCCGTCCCCAATCCCTGGGGAAGGAGTTGATACGTCTGGGGCGGTATGTATCCTTCCCGGGATATTCCCCTATTGATTCGTGCTCTGGGGGGGGACCACAAAAAGGGTTGGTCATGGACTCGTCTCTGTGTTTCTACCTGTCAGACAGTTAGAGCAGCGCGACCCCTCAGGGGAAAGTAGTGCTTCATCAGTGGAGGGTAGTAGCGCTGCTCTAACTGTCTGGCAGGTAGAAACACAGAGGTATGCGAGGTCCTATGACGCAACCCTTTTTTGTCCCCCCAGAGGATTGAGAGGATTGAATCAGAGGAGGGGGATATATCCCCCTGGGGGAAGGATTGAATACCGTTCTCGCCAGCCTAACCAAATGATGGACCTGATTCCCAACGGGTCGTTTCCGCGCTGCTCGAAAGCGAGAGTGCGTTTTGTACTACAGACAACCGTACCCACTTTTAGACCTTAACTGTGGTTGTAAAGGGTATAATAGTTCGGGGGGGGGGGGAGCGCGCGACGGGCGGCAGTTTGCTCCGTGGGTTTCTCTTGAGAGGACAGTGAACTCGCATTCCGCTTTTCCAATGTCCAAGTGCTTGCGGCCCCCCCGGAGCTGCCTACATTCATGGGCCTACGGGTTTCCGAACATGCCAGGCGAGCAGACTGCCGCGCCGCCGTCCGCGTGCCCCCCCCCCCAACTAAGTTAGCACCGCTAAAACCATCACACCAAGAAAACAAGAAACAAGAAAACTACGTAGATAAATGGTCTGGATGCACAATCTCATTGAGAAACATCTCGACACGAACCTATGAATTGACTAACAATGAATAGAAACGTAAGATTACGATCAGGACAACCATCGACTACAAAGCCCAGCGACTGGTTCAAGAAAAGGTGTAAATCGCATGATAGCTACATTATTTAAGATATAATGTGCATCCCAATACTTCTGGAACCCAAAAATGGCGAAGGAAAATAACCGGAAAGCTCATTTCACTTAAATACCAGTTTAGGCGTCAAGTATGAGAAGTTGTTTGTAATTACGTACAACACGCTCTATCTACGCGTGATTTCGGGGACGTCGTCATATGGCGCGATCCCATTGGCATTGGAGCGCAGGGGCCGTAAATGCCCATCCTGCTGGGTGTTGTGACATCTGATCCTTTTGCTCCTCTGCGTCTCCTTCACAAGGCCAGACACCAGACACTAAGGCCCAAACTTTTGCCACAGGTTAAGTGGCTCACACACCCCCACCCCCTGAATTGGCCCCATTCCCCCTGGCTCACGCATTCTTACTTACTACCAGGTTCCCGCCACACCAAAAGGATTAGATGTCATACAACCATTCTGCTGCGACCGGACAACTCGTCCGTATCACTCAACTACTAGACTTCAGTAATTGATCGATCTGATAATTTGGGTCTCAAAAATCTCGCTGAGTCCCAAAGATCTAAAAAAGAGCGGATAGCTTCTGTTGGCCTGATGCCAAGGCAAGAGGAACGGAACAGAATGTGTTGCGCGGACGAGTTGTCCGGCCACAGCAGGATGTGGTAATTACGGCCTGTGCGCTCCAATGCCAATGGGATCGCGCCATATGACCGCACACCCGTCATTTCGTAGCCCAGCCTGTTGAGGAACGTCTGTGACATCAGGATGTCATGTCGGAATAATTACCTACCTCGCACGATCAAACGAAAGAGTCCCGCTCATCGCTCAGGTCCTGTCTTTCAGGGGAGACATAATGGTGCCAGTGATACTGTTTGAAAATCGAAGACCATAGGAAAAATTTGTCATGGCCATGAAACACCACATACTCAACTATGCCACTTTAGCCGATGATGAGAACAGTGTTTTCATCTTTTGAATCAGGCCTTCCACCTAGATCGGAGGGTGGGAGGTCTTGATCACCAGAAATGGGCTCAGATCTCCTACGTGCAGACACCCTCGGCAGGCTCAGATACGAGCCTGCCAAGAGTGGCCGATGTCAGACTTTGCGATTGGAGCGATTTTGCACCAATTGCAGGAGCGACGGATCGCTTGAGCGATGCGAGCGACGGAGATTTACACCGCCGACCAACGATAATTCGGCGCCATCAGTTCGTAAATCTCCCGTCGCTCGCATCGCTTGAGCGATCCGTCGCTCCTGCAATTGGTGCGAAATCGCTCCAATCGCAAAGTCTGACATCGGCCAGTGTTCCAAGCAGGTGAACGGTCCGTGTCACATCTCAAACGGGCGGTCATATTTGGCATTTGTGACAACAGGTTGTGATTCATGCTTATGAACATCAATAGTGCGTGACCAGAATGCACTGTAATGTGATGACGGGTAAAATGGGGGGGGGTGAGGGCATCAGGCGAAGCTCAGACACTATATTGAAAAGCTAGGCTAGCACATGAGCTGTCACAAGTATTACTAAGCTCAGTAAGTTTAGGGTTGGGTTGGAAACCCCAACCTCAAACACTTTCTGTGGTTCTCGCCATTCCTTCGATTGGCTACCTCGTATAGTTACCGGTCCTAAGAATAGAGTTCTATGGGCTAACCAACAGACGACAGTGGTCTGGCTGCACGATTTGCAAAAGTCCTGCTTTCCCGAAGTCCTAGTCTGTATAAGTGAGTTCTCGAGGTCCGGGAGGTTGGAATAGTAGAAGTCATGGCTCATATGAATTCCGGCCTATAGCCATCCGCCACGGCACAGCTCAAATGTTCGCAGCTTGACCGTTACGGTTGTAAGATGAAATAAAGACATGTCGAAGTCTTTTTTTTTACTAATGGACCCGCTCGAGCCCGTCGACAAGGAACGAACGTTTATACTCTGCTCTACAGCACTCTTCGTCAGAGAGAAATCTTGCGCTAACAAGACCTCACAATTGCCAACCTATTTTTATTCGATCAGATCCCATCTGAAATGACGATGTCGAAATGTTGTCATCGCATTTGCAGTGTGTTGTACCCTCCCCTTCAAAAAGCCGGAAATTGTGCGATGCAGACCCACACAAGTGACGACGGCCTCCAAAGTAAATCTGGTTAGTAGTGGTTCATAGTGATAGCTGATTTTTAGTAAATGATAGTTGTAATTACTGTCAACTGATCGAATACAACTGTAACAGGTTAATCATTTCATTGGCAAAAAAAATTTGCATTTTCTGGAGGCCGTCGTCACTTGTGGTGTATGGTCTGCACCCGACACTTCTGGCTTTTTGAAGGGGTGGGTAAATGTTATGTATGCTATGTTGAAAAACTATTATGTTGAACAAATATTTAGGAAATAACAAATAGTTGGTGACCCATGAAGCGTGAAAATATTGATGAAGCATGCAAATTTATTTGATCTTTATATCAATGCTTCCAGAGAAACAGCATATCATGCCTATAAATATGGTTGTCTACGGAGAGGTCCATCCATTCCCTACCTCGTGCTTCCTGCTCGTAATCTTGTGCAGCACTTTTCTAGTGACCAGGTGACCACCTGAAGTGAAAAGCTATTTGGTGAGTGTGAAATTGAGCGTATTTCTCGTCGTAGGGGTGACAACGCAAGACCAACTTCAGATACTCCGGCAGACTAAAGCGCTATCGCAAATATAGGGCATTTTGAATCTCGATGCAGGCGCTATCGCAAGATGCTGGAGCACTCTTTAGGACTTAGGAGGGCGTAGAAGTTTTGAGGAAAATTGGAATTTCCATGCATCCTAAATCCTCTTCACTTCCGCCTTGGGCTTATTCACCTTTTCAAAAGAAGATGTGCTACATGGTTCTGAATGCGTTGTCATAATAATGCTCCCACGTATCTTCGTATAATGTATGCTATAGTCGTGTAAAAATCTTATTTTTTTTTCCAAAAACAAGTCTAACTATAAGCCTCGCCTCAGTCGGGGAGGTGAGATTTTTTTTTCAAAGTTTCTGCCCGGTCCCATTAGTTTCTAGGGTGCCCCCGTATCTTGCGATTGCGTCCAGAGCTGTGTTTTTCTTGCTTTCAGTCTGCATCAGAATTCCTAAAGATGTCGTCGTTTCGACAAATGTGTGAAATGATGGATCGCATCATGGAAGACTGTGTAACGAAATGCACAGGACCTCGAAATCAGCCATAGGTCCTGGACTAGTCAGGCCTACTGAGAAGCGGTGAACGCCTCGGGCTGCGAAGTATTTGCGAATGAGCTCAGGGGTCGTCGAAGTGCCTCTGGGGGCTTGGTGGGCTCAGCCGGCGTCATGTAGTTTGGGAGTGGGGGACCATTCAAAAACAGAGGCTAACGTAAGACAGAAGTAGCCCAGCAGATGGAGAAAAAACACGCTGAGGAGAATTCAAATAAGACTCACATACTCGCAGGGATCCTGTCCCTTACTCTTGCGCTTTAGCAAGCACTAGATAATGGGCTCACTCACTTGAATGTACCCCCACCCCGCGAAGGACATGAGCGCCCTCGGCTTCCTTATTTCAGCATGTTAGGGTTAACGTTGAAGCATTGTCAGGGTTAAAACGACTCTACGTGTTGAATTTTTCAGCACGTAGAGCCGTTTTGCACTTTAGGTGCCATGTTATTCACAGAGCCTATCGCCAAGATACGGCATTCTGATGCAAGCATCCGAAATACTAGTAATCATCTCCTCTCTGTTAATAGGGACTAATTCCTAAGCCTGGGAAGTAAATTCAGTTCCACAAGCCTTCATTCACCCTGATTTCTCGCCCTCACAGGCTTAGCCCTAGTGGGTGCTCTCGTATCTAACGATAGCTTCTTCACCAAATTTCGCTACTGGCACCCATGAAAAAAAGACTTTATGGTGTTTTCAATCGATGGGACTTTTCAGATTGTTAACGATGATAAGAAGTTCGCGGTCTCTTTGGATGTGTCACAGTTCAAGCCAGAGGAGTTAAAGGTCAATTTGGATGGCAGGATGCTGACTGTTGAAGGCAAGCAGGAGAACAAGAACGGACAACAGCTTCTGCAGAATGACACGAATTGTTACAAGCGTATACAGGTTACGACACGTTTCCAGGCGTTTTACCCGTTCCTTTGGAGCCTTCCTGAGGACGTGAATTTGGAAGGTCTGAAGACTGAACTCAGCGACAAAGGCAAGCTTACCATCGAAGCTCCGAAGTTCCCGAATACTTCAAAGAAAGACATTCCCATACAGCATGGCTCTTCCTTCTCCCAAAGTCAAAGCACCCACAGTTACAGTCGCAGTAGTCATTAGGCAAAGATGTCCCTCTCAAAATCCTTTCCGGTAGTTTTTCTTAGCTTCACAATCTTAACGCTCTCAAATTCTTCAAGGGCCAATAATAAGCTGTCATCTGAATAGTTGGTCCAGCTCGTGCTCCTTATTAGTCCCCTGTTCACCGTTGCACCGTACAAGAACGATGCTTGTAAAGTGGCACCTATGTAATAAATGATTTCAAAAATAATGTTCTTACAAAATTACACGTAAATTGGGTCTTATGCGGCAAGGAGTGTCGCAATGGATGTGGGACCACTTCGTATACTTTTTTACTTTTTCTAAGGGTGCAACTGAGCTAGAATACGCTGCTAGAATAAGATTTTTCCCAGCAATGTCTTGGGGAATCCCCAGGTGGTCTATGACTTCTTATCATGTTATTTCCGAACTGATCTTCAAGCATCTACTAGAACTTCTAGTTGTACGAATATCGTAATGGCCGCAGAGTTGTTTGACGCGGATAAAGCGTTATGGGCGCTATCGCAAGACATCGGGGCATAGCTGTGACAACACATTTGGAACCGCGTCAATCTTCTCTTTTTTTGTCATTCGTGAGCCTCAAGTATTATTATCAAGTATTAGGCAAGGGGAGAGACATCAGGGTGCGTGCACAATTTTCCTTCCCCACTTCAGGCATTCTCCCAAAGAATGCCCTTGTATCTTGCGATAGCGCTGCCCTACGTTCAGGGAAGTAATAAAAAATACTTTTTGCCCTTATTTAAATGGATTTAATCACACTTTGCTCAATTTGAACCGAGTGGTCCCAACTTAAATTGAAGAGCACATTCCATTTATAAAAAATCTTCATGATTGGCCACCTACGTGGACGGCATCAGAAGAATTTGCCCTGGAAACATGGTGCACTGGTCGAGCTCAATGGGGTCTTCGAAGGATCGTGTACCATAACGACGTTTACTGAAAAGCTAGTTTCGAGGGGATTTGCATAGTAGAGCTAATGCCTCTAGGAAAATATCCAACATTGAATCGATTCAAGAAATTATGTAAGAGCTTCAGCTGAAGCAGTTACTGTAGGCCTCCTTGAGCTCGACGACGATGACAGATGACGTCATATTGTGAACAGTGAAGGCAGTGGAGGAGTGCTTGCGTCTGAAGGGATGATTGAGGAACATTTTGCTCTAACAACAGTAACTTCCGTCAAAGGCGACTCTCCACGAAAAGACCACTGAAGTGCAACGTGGGCAAAATGTCTTTTCCATACACCACCCCTCTGTATATCTGTCTTGATATTTTTTCTGTGTGTCTCGCAGCAACGGTGTCGCATTGGTTCTTACTACTGATACAGGAAATAGGACGGGGTACAGATAGTGTTTGACAGAATCTGATAGCAACTGGTAGGAGCCAGAACAAGGCCTGAAATGATTTCAGTGCTTCGTGGTGACAGTGGAACGCTTCCCCTCACGAGTGATATGGGCTTTTTGGGACGGGGACACTACTGATTGATGAACGATAGTGACAGCTACTGCCAAGAGTCGATGAGGGTCAGAATGTGGATGACGGTATTTCGCTGCTTCTTTCGGTGTGATAGGATAAGGTCGGCTCCTACGAGTAGTGTAGGGATCAGACGGGAACACAGGTAATGGAGTGTTCAGAGTTGGCGATCGTATGTGCGATTAGGCGATTGGGCGATTAGTCTATAATGAAAAATATACGTATAGATTAGGCGATTAGGCGATTAGGCGGGAAGACAACATACGTATTGATTGGTTTGCTCCGCCCATAGAACGTTGTAGGCGAGTAGGCGATTAGGCGAGTAGGCGATTAGGCGATTAGGCGATCGCTCAATGGGCGGAGCAAAATCAATACGTATCCTTCTCTTATCGCCTACTCGCCTACTCGCCTAATCGACTCTACTCGCCTAATCGCCTAATCGATACGTATACTTTTCTTTTTGAATCATCGCCTATCGCCTAATCGCCTAATCGCACGTACGATCGCCAACTATGAACGCTCATAGAGGTAATCGGTAGTGAATGGAGTTGATAAGAACCGCCAAGAGGTGTTGCGCCTTTTGTGGTGACAGGGGAGGTCGGCTCCTGGCAGGTGTCACACTTTAAGTGTCAATTTGGGCGATGCGCCAGCGAGTAATCGTGATTAATCATTGGCTCACCGCACGTGTCTCTGGAACCAATTTGCTAGCGATTGGTCGCCAAGCCTGACAACAGCCTGAATAGCACCGTACACGTATACCCTCCAGGTTCAAGCGGACGTGGAGGAAAGCTCATTGTTGATCCCAGCACACTCGACCCCCTCCTTCTCACTGGACCTAATACGATCCCCTCCCCCTCGAGAATTCTTCAGTACAGGGTTGACCCCGATACCCTCCATCGTTGGCTGTCCGCCTCAGATCCGCCCCAACGCCCCGCCCACGACTGTACTGTTTTGGCTTGTCGTGTGAGCTTTCAAATAATGAGCAATGGGTACGCATAGCGGGACATCTTGCAATAACCGGTGAGAACCTGTGAAGCAGGAAAGTCTGGAATAAACATGTTAGGTTAGGTTTAGGTTTGTGAGGTTCCCAGAAACAGCGTATCACTTCAATAAATACCGCTCTTAAAGGAGAGGTCAATTCATTCCTACCGCGCATCTCGACCAGAAAATTTGGCTTGCAGCTCTCGATCGCTCAAGTTGCATCTCTGAATTTAGCTCTATTTGGTGAGTGGCAGCACTTGGCGCTGTTTCTGGCGCTCATGTCGTTAGGAGAGACGTTAAGTGAAGAAGCCAATTAGAGTACTTGAGACCAAGCTCAGGGAGGAGAAGGGATTTTGGGGGAGGATGTGATCAGTTGTTGTTCATCCCTGGCATTTCTGCGCTCTCCTGGGCTCACTGTGAGTCCCAATGCCACCTATCGTCGGCCCTGTTCCCTCCTCCCTCCAAGGGCATGATGAGCCCCTATTTCTTGGTACTTGATTTCTGCTTTCAGTGGACATCAACTGGATTCGGAAAGATGTCGTCGTTCTGGCATATGTCTCGAATGATGGATCGCATCATGGACGAGTATTTGAGAGAAATGCACAGGTCCTCGAACCAGCCCATAGCACCCTACTGGCGGGACGCCGATCACTCAGTGCTGCAGGTTGCAAATGAGGCGCACCAGGTTCGTAAAATTTCAGGCGCTGTCGCATGATGATGGCGCGTTCAGAGTTGGCGATCGTACGTGCGATTAGGCGATTGGGCGATTGAGGAAGTAGGCGATCGGCAACATGGGCGGAGCAACAAATCGATACGTATCCTTTTCTTATCGCCTACTCGCCTACTCGCCTAATCGCCTAATCGATCGTATACTTTTCATTTTGAATCATCGCCTAATCGCCTAATCGCCTAATCGCACGTACGATCGCCAACTATGAACGCTCCATAGGCTTTGTGATGTCAACCACTCAAAAGCACTAGCACGCGTAAAACACTT